TGATCTCGTCCAAAACCTTCTTTCTTGATTCAAAGACAACAAAATCATCCCCTGAAACAATACTTTCCTGTTTCTGAAAAAGAAAGCGGGAAACCCTTTCGAAATCCTCTTTGATGAGTTGATCGACAACTGCAGCATACTCCTTAGCTTTCTCACTAAGATCATAGAGAGCCTTGGGATTAGGACACCACCGAAAGCAACACTTTCGCTCGGCCTTTGCTTTTAATTCATCTATTTCGTCTTTTCCGTTTCCACTGATGTGCTTGTCCGCTTCACTCATCCACTGCTTGACCTTCTCCAAAATCTCCTCCCCCCTTTGCTGAGCTTCATAAACTCTGTGCTGCAGGTCCCTTTTCCTAATGGCCAGCTCACCCAGTTTAGCCGTTAGCTTCGTAACATTTTGCTTCCACAAGTACAGAGCAGTGATTGGATTTATGACAAGGTAGGCAACAATTGGATCAAAAACCTTGTCAAAAACTTTGTTTGCAAAGCAAGAAAGACTTACAGAATCACCCATAATCTTCCTGATTTTTTTTTTCCCCTTTTCTCCTTGGTTTAGAGAAATAGGTGAGGGGCAAATGCAAAGTAAATCAAATAGATAATGCAGTGATATCACTGGTCAGTTTGTGATAATAGAAGCGGAAAAGTGGGATTTTTTTTTTTTTTTTCTGGTAAAGGAATGTAAAAGGCAGGAAATTATACAGAAGCGGAAAGTAAAAATTAAACAAGAAACAAAAAGAAGCAAAAATAAGCAAATGAGTCAAAAGCCTAGGCCATATCTAATTCTTTTTTTTTTTTTTTTTGGAGTTTAATCTGAGAAATGTACATATACAGATTCCAAACAAAAATAGCGAGACAAGAAACAAAGAAGAAAACGAATCAAATTAATTAATATGTGAGAAGGAAACAAGGAAGAAGCAAGGTGAGATGTAAAAGGCTGTGAGGTGAGGTGAGAAGGGTAGCAGAAGATGTTGAAAAGAAGGATGGAGCACAGATAATGAAAGGAACAAGTTGGATGAAAACGAGAATTTGATAGCAAAGATTGGAAGTGAAACACGGATGAGTCATTTGTTGTTTTGCGCAGATGAAGGATGATGGTAATGAATCTAATGATTTATGTAGAGAGGAAGGCGAACACGCAATAGAACACGCCACATTAAACCCAAAAGACATGAGGATGAAGAATGTATGGGCCTCCTTATATATATCGTACTTTAAGACCTTGTTTCTCACTGATGTGGGATCTTTGCAAAAAACCACACAACTCAACTCCACTCACATGTTCATATTCTCCAACAGGGGCAGCATGCTTTGCTTCAAGAACTAGGAATCGCAAAAGTGTAGACATACTGAAGCATAATTACGTGTCCAAGAATAAAGTGACTTGCTAAAGGAAGGCGTAATCCCTGTCATTTACTTTGGCAAGAGTTAAGTGATTCCATGCTTTGTAGTCAAGAATCATGATCACTGGATGAAGGATCGATGTACAAGGTTGAAAAGTTAAAATTACCCACCCTCAAATACCAGAAAATTATTGAATTTAAATTAGTTTCAAAATTAATCAGCCATTCCCCGCAATATATCCCTGATTGAGATTTGCCATCTTATAATTTTGATGTTTTCATCACAAAGATGATGGCAGTGAACCAGACAGTAACTAATCTTCTTTTGCTAGTAATAATCCATCCAACCATTGAAATGCAATTTCTGGCCTAAAAAAAATGCCATTGAAATGCATTTTGTTATTTAAACAACAAACAGAGAACCCAATATGAAGCCTCAAGTCAAGTGGTTGAAAGATTAGAGGTTGAGAATTTTACTTTTGCAGATTTCGGAATTTTTCCTCATTTCTCCTGGGTTTTGTAGCTGTGCTTAATTAATTATGTCCTTCCCATTTTACACTTAGAGAACTAACTTATTGATTAATTTAACCCTTACTCTGAATCAATATATATATATATATATATATGAGTGTGTGTGTTTTGCAGCCTGATGAGAACTGCGAAACATTAACCCTTGAATGATGAGAGTCTTTTGGTAATTGGTGTGGGTCTCTCCATCTAATGATTAATATTTTGCAGTTCATTAGATAGCTTGCAATCCAGACTACAAAACATCAAACATTTATCATACAAATCCACTCCATTTTAGAGAAATCAATCATTGTCCTTTAATTGAATTCCATCGGCCAAAAGTGATGTCCATGATTGGTACAACCTTAATCGTTGGGCTTTTGGATTACTTTGTGATCTTATGCTTTTTCTATTTAATCAACAATCTTGGCAAAAGCTTTTATGGAAACAATTAATGGTTTTATGCCATTTAAAATTCTAAAGTGTTGATTAATAACTTGGTAGTAGTAAGATTTTATCTGAAGTTTTGTTCATATATGATATCTATTACAAGCGAATAAATTTGAAATAAGTGAGAATAAAACAACACAAAAGTAGCCACTCTCATTTTGTTCTGTTCTTTCTACTAAGGCACTTTAAAAAGCAATTGGACAAAATTTCCCACACAATTGAACCAGGTTCGATGTGGATTGATTTGATGGGGCTAAAATCATTCTACACCATATACGATTGACTTTAGCCAAGATCATTAATAATAATTGTAACTTCTGTCTCCTAAGAAAAAGGTTAAATGATTTGAATGAAGAGTTGTGATTAATAGTCCCTTTTTTCGGATAATGACTGGTATTTATCATATTTATTTCCATAATTATCAGGCAATTCCTAACAACTCCAAAATCTAATGGAGGCCATGGTTTAAGCACATACAATCTTTTAACAATGATCTATTAGCCAAAAAAGCTTGAAGACTACTACAAAGGCCAAGTTTATGCACCCAAATATTGAAAATGAAAGGAATTTATTTTCTTGGTACATATTTACTTAATGCAAAAAGAGGTGACAGTCCTTCTTGAGCATGGCACGACATCTTACTCGATAAAAGACTCACTTAAAGAATATTTGATTTAGCGAGTTTTAAAAGGGCATCAAATGCTATTAATTAAAATTTATTACTATAACCTATTAATGAAAGACAGAAGACCTTTTTATTAGGGAAAAATATAAGACTTCAAGCATTACTCATTTGTGGCTTTTAGGCATTAATTAAATGAATGTTTCTTTGTAATTATGCAAGACAAAAATATGACGACTAAAGTTGAATGGAGATATTAACAAAAATCTCAATCGATCTACCTTTCTATAGTAATGCAACAGTTATGTTGTTTGTATTCAAGAAATTAAGTAATGCAATGCAAGTCCAACCTTTTGCACATGCGACTATATTGTCGCCGAACATTTCTATCCGCACAAATATTGCATTCAGCGCATTGGAATTCAATTCTGATGCGCGCCTATCCATTTCTGTCCAGTCTCACAGCATCAAAATGGATTGCAATTAATTCGTGATCTTGCATTGGAGAATAACTTTTTCTGAGACTGATCTCTCAAAGTTGGACACTGTATGATTGATTCTACTAGTGACTCTGGAATTAACCGATAAATAAGGGGTCCTACCAAAAAAAAAAAAAAAAGGATAAATAAGGGGAAAGAAGGAACCTGAAAGTCAGGTTACTTTTTTTTATCATCTTTTGTTTTTATTATTTTTAAGCAACAACATTCTCAAATGTTTTTGTTCTTTAAAAAAAATGAAAGCATGCATAATTAAGATACTAATACAAATAGGATAATTATACATACACCCAAACAATCAACACCCATCTCAACACCCAAGGCTTATAAACAGTAAAATTACAAATTTACCCTTCCTCATTTTAACTTTGGATGTTAAAATGGGTGTTGATTGTTTGGGTGTATGTATAATTGTCCATACAAATATCCTTGATTCAATACACTCTAAAATATATTTATTTAAAAATTATTATTTTTTATCTAAAATTAAAAATAGAGAACTTAAAAATATAATTATATATGCAATATAAAAGAACGTAACTAGTTATACCAATTACACCTATCTACTTGGAAGATCACTTTGCTATTAGGATAGCATTGAAATGTTAGAAGATATGGAAGTACAGAAGTGGTATAGATATTCTAACAGAAAAGAGCCCAAGCCTAGGAGTACTATTTTCAGAATTCAGAAGTAACAAAACCTTTTTGTAAAAAGTTGGAGTACCACTTATATTTTCTGAAAAATCAAATTTTGATATAATCATCAAACCGCCCCTCCCCCTCGACATATATGCCATTTTGTATGGTAATGCAAAAGGTTATGCTATCTTTATTCAATAAATTAAGAAATTCAATACAGGTCTAACCTTTTACACATGCAACTATAGCGTGGCCGACCATCTGCATCTGCAAAGTATTGCCCTTGGTGCATTGTACGATTTTCTTGTGGTAACACTGGAATAATGGATAAATATGGGGTACTAGCTACCGAGAACAAGGAAACGTACAGATGACTTAGTTTGACAATATTATTCGATCTTGTCTTGTAATAGCAACGATTAAAAGTATTGTGTTGTATTGTTATAAAAAAATATTTTAGTATATGATAATTATATTTTAAAAAATTATTTATTATAAAATTATTTAATTAAATATGTTACTATTTAAAAGTAAATTAATTAATAATTTAATATATAATGTATAAAAAGGATTTGAGAAATCTATTAAATTATTTAAGAATTATATTAATTTTGAATAATATAAATTTTATATTCCTTTAAAAAAAAAAGTAAAAAGCGATAATTTACCGAAGGTATAAATTATAAAAAATTTTGTAAATATGTGCAAAAAATATTGTAAAAAGCATTGTCAAACGAAACCTAAGTAAAGTGGTCACATTTCCTGTGCATATATACAAGGCATAAAAAGGTAGGTGAACAGAAGATGGAGTAGAGAAAACGTGGCCACTTTATTTATTATCCTATTAATATTCAAGCTCTAGGTAGTTTGATAGTGTAGATTTAAAGAAGAGAAGATGGAGTATATGCAGCAATTTCCTTCTTTTTTTTGGTTTTTGGTGGAAAAGGGAAATTTGATAACATAAAGAGTTTAGCAATAGACATAGCGGTACAATGTAAAGTTAGCCAAGTCTTGGCAATAAACAAAATTACAGCAATCAGCTACTGAAACAAAATAACAAAATGGTTCTTCCAGTGTAGCTCCTACCTTGGCAAGAACATCAGCTACTCTATTGCCCTCTCGGAAGACATGAGTGATGAGGAATCCTCAAACTGATGGGTCAGAGACCTGCAAGATGCAATCAAAGGCATGTGAATGCGAGAGCCTTGTCGCTGTTGACTGACATTCACAGCAAACTTAGTCTGTTTCAAGAATGATTCTTCTGAAACCTTTATCTATGGCTATCTCTAAGCTTTTTTTAATTGCCCAGAGTTCAGCTATATTATTGGTTTCCACTTCCCAGATTCATGGCAAATCCTGCCACCCATTCACCATTTCTATCACGTATATGCAGTAATTTCAATTAATTAATAAGCACTCAAAAGCACATGACCTTGACAACCCAAACAATCATGGGACTGGCCTTTCTCCTGCTGCAACCGGGGAGTTAACTCTTTTTTTTTTGGACAGTATACATTTCAATTTAACACATTATACAATATATTATTAAAAATTATTATTTTTAATTTAAACTATAAATAAACAAATTTAAAAATACAATCATATTTATATTAAACTGACTGAATTGAGTTAAATCTATATTATATTTTAATTGTTAAATCAAATAAATGTTAAAAAATATATTAAATCAAATATATATATCACTTTTTTTAATTTTTTATTAATTGAACCATTATTTAAGTTCCAATGTTTCAGATCAATATATAATACTAATTCACCCCGTATTAGAAAAGTTAATCATTGTATATTGACAGCTCGTCCGCCTAAAGCGATGTGTGTGATACCGTTGAGTTTTTAGTGATTTTGAAGGCTCGACTCTTTGAGAAGTCACAGTACTCTCAGAGATTACGCGAATGAAGTTAATGCAGAAAAGAAGCATAGAGACTATGACAAATAAAATGAAGAAATTTGATGAGAAACAATGGATGCCCCCTCCCGAAGACTCTTGCAAGATCAGTATTGATGGAGCTTTTGATGTCAG